CAGCAAGGGTCACATTTTCCAAATTTTACCAAGTCTAAGAACTGAATAGTTATCTATTCTTTACCATCAGAAATGTTCTCAACTCATTCTAGTAGCCATCAAATGAACTTTACACTTTTTCGTAGTTTCCTAAAGGTTACAGTAGTAATCATATCACGCTCTAGACCCATCCTTCTCTTAATCTATTATTTATTTGCTATGAGTATTTATTTTCCTACACCTTGTTCAAATAAATGTAAACCTCATTAAAAATGATATTGTTGTATTATCAGATTCCAGTTTCGGAAAAGGCTTCCCATGTTATCGAAGTCTCATGAGTTCATCCTCATCAAACACACCACAACAAATCAAATTGATATTCATCTAAACACCTTGCCCTTTCTTTCTCTAACATAAAAATACCAGATCGGTGGAAGATCCTCAATGCATCTTTCAACTGCAATGCATTTAGTTCCAATATGAATCCAGGCTTTAATGAAAATCTTATCACTGTCCAATAATGAAATTTCACCGGTCAAGCCCTTGAAGAAAAAAAATGGCATGCATACATAAACAAAGCCTAGGTTCCCTCCATTGGGTTCATTATTACATGATTTGAACAACAATCATTGAAAAGTAAATCCATCCCATCCAACAACTTAAGCTTTTAAATAAGTTAACTCAACAAGAATTTCCAGCTCCTACTTTAGCAAAATGATTAAAATTTGAAACATCCTCTTAATTTAGCATACTTTATAATATCCTATTCTAAACCCCCTTCTGGAAATTGAAAACATCACCACACCCCCACACACAGAGATCAATTTCTTTTACTAAACAATTCAATCAATATTGTTACACAATAATTTCCGAGAACCATGCAAAAGCAACTAATAGCGACAGACCAGAATGATAATATGCTGAAGACACGAACCTTAATAAGTTCGCGATTCTCTTGAAGAATCTTTGCAGCACCAAGAAGCATTGCAACATGTGCATCGTGCCCACAAGCATGCATCTTTCCAGGATTCTTACTCTTGTGATCCCACTCCACCTTTTCCTGCAGAATTTACAACTCTTGAACTCAACAAAACAACAATAACACATTTAGGATATGCCAATAATTTGTAACTCTTTCACAAATTCAGAACTTAATCTAAGCACAGAATTTACAACTCTCAAACTCGATAAAACACCACTTTAGACATTTTGGATAACAAAAATATGTACCTCTTTCACAAATTCACAACTTAATCTAAGCAAATGATCTCAAAACATTTTTCACATCAAACTATCAGCATTATATTTATATCATTGTTCAGAAAGAATAAAAAGGGAAAAAAAGAAAAGAAAAATTCAATCTTTTTTTCAAAAAAGAAAGAATAAAAAGTCCAATAATTCAAGTATAAATATTCACAAACCTGTAGGGGAAGAGCATCCATATCTGCCCTTATGGCAACAAAGGGAGGCTTCCCTGAACCAATGGAGCCAATTACACCAGTAACGGCAACTGGGTATTTATAAGAAATCCCCATCTTATCCAATTCTTCTCTGATAAGTTTACTAGTCTCAAATTCTTCATAGCCTAGTTCAGGATTCTCATGTAACCTTCTCCTAACGCCCACCATCCAATCAAATACCTCAGATTTCTTGGCAAATTTGAGGAAATTTATCGGAATCTCAGACAGCTCTTTTGAACTCAATATTAAGCTTGAGGAACTGGGATTAAAGAAAAACAAGTTAAGATAAAGAATCGAGAAAACCCCTTTAGAAACCCCCATGATTTCTTCAGCTATTTCTACTCTTTTTGATAACTACAATTAAGGTTTTCAAGAATCTACGGATTATGAACACTTAAAGGGGGAGAGAGAGAGAGAGACTTTTAAGGCATTGATGGGGGGTGTATATATATATTACAGCGGAAGTGGAGAAGTTGGTCAATTAAATTACTTTTTATTTTATTCGGGTGTTTTGAGAATGTGCAAAATGTGGAATATTAATTTGATTTGTTTGATAGTTGTAGGGAAATTGCCTTCGCAGACATACTTTTCGATGATTTGTTAGTCATTCGTTCATTTCGTTTTCAGTATCCAGTGGTCAGAGCGTCACGGATGATGCTATAATGCTATAATATCATAAAATCTTGTATCATTTGAAATAAAATTTTTATCACTGTGACTTGAGCAAAAAACAAATTAACAATGTTTAAAAGATGTATATTTGCTGAAAAAGCTCATGAATAAGAGTTGTATCACATTTAGAACTTGCGTCTTTGAGTGTTTATTCGGATAGAATTATAAGCTGTTGAAATTATAATTTGATAAAAATAAGTGATAAATAAATGAATAATTATTGCAAGTTCTATAAAATGTATCTTGAAAACTAATGTTTGGTTTTGATACTTAAATATAAAAAAATGATAAAAGATTTTATGATATTAATTTTGACTTAAATTAAATTTTTAATTTTTACTAGATAGGTGCTTAGGTTAATTGTCTTGTCAATCTTTCTTCTTTTTTTTTTTTTTTTTTTACCAACAATT